TTCGATGATAACCCAAATAAATATTTAAAATGCCCCCTGCCTCGAAGGGAAATTTCATCCGTCATCAGATTTTTGGCATTTTTAAACTTAAAAATGCCCCGTCTTTTGGGAGAATTTCTAAGTCATCTTAGAAATATTTTCTTTATTTATAAGAGAATAATCTTCAGCTTGTTTTTCTTAAGAATGATATTTTTTTAGATATCTCCCATTGATCGGGGGCATAGGTCGTCTACCTTCTAGATCAATGAGTTGATATGCACCTCCTTGGTACACCTTCTCGTTGACAAAAGGACCTTCCCAATTTGGTTCAAATTTTCCACCAATCCTTTGGTGTGGGATAATTGGTCTTCTCAGCACCAGAACCAATTCTCCTTCTTGAAATGCTCGAGGTCGTACCATACGGTCAAAAGATTTCACCATCCTTGCTCAATAAATTTCTAAATTTTGTTAAGCCTGGAGTCGGACTTCATCCAACGCATCAAGCTCTTCCATTCGTAGGCGAGCATTTTGTTCTTCTGTAAGGTCGTACTGAAGAGCTATCCGAAGTGATGGTAGTTCAACTTCGAGTTGCAACACAGCTTCAGCTCCAAACACCAATGCATAAGGAGTTGTTTTTGTTGGCGTTTTGTATGTGGTACGATATGCCCATAATGCTTCTGCCATCGTAGTATGGCATTCTCTTTTATTTTTAGTAAGGATTTTCTTGAGTAGCTTTACGAGCGTTTTGTTGAAGGCTTCTGTTAATCCATTTGCCCTTGGATTATAGATCGATGAATATCGCCAATCGATTTTATGTCGTTCAGTGAACTTATAAATTTTGGTACTTTTGAAAGCTGAACCGTTGTCTGAGATTATGCGACGCGAAACACCAAATCTGTAGACAATATTATGAGTAAAAAAGTTGATCACATGATGAGCAGTGACTTCTTTGAATGGAACTGCTTCAGCCCATTTAGAAAAATAGTCTGTTACCGCTAATATAAAGCGATGTCCAGCAGATGATGGTGGATCAATGGGCCCAATTACATCTGTCCCCCAGCATTCGAATGGCCAAGATGCTATTGTGGGATGTAAAGGATTTGGAGGTTGATGTATAATATTGCCATGAATTTGACACTCGTGACATATATCTGCATGATTTGTACAATCCTTTACCATTGATGGCCAGTAATAACCCATTCTTTTAACCTTAATGGCCATTTTAGGACCTGATTGATGTGCACCATATAATCCTTCATGAACTTCAGAAATTACTTTATCAGCTTCATCTCTACCTAAACAGTGCAGCCACATTTGCTCAAATGACCTTCGATATAGTGTATTGTTGACAAACGCATATCGCAATGCTCTCTTCTTGATCTGTGTAGCTAATGATTTATCTGCGAGAAGTTTGTTTTCTCTGTAGTAGTCAATGAAAGGCTGCCTCCAGTCATTTTGCTATTCAACTTCTAGGCATTCAAGCCAAGATTAAGATGTTCTACCAAATTTTCTTCCTGTGAACATCTGAGGTTTATCTTGTTGATTTTCAGGAATAATCTGTTGGGGAGATTGAGGAATAACCGAAGTTATATCCTCCTGACTTGGATTTGATGACCCCTCTTCCTGCGGGGAATACAAAATTGCTGGCTCTAGTACTCGACGTGTGTTGACACTGATTAGTACCGGCTCGTCATTCATGCTCGCCATTATAGAATTGCTGGTTTTAGTACTCGACGTGTGTTGACACTGATTAGTACTGGCTCGTCATTCATGCTCGCCATTTCTTTAGCAAGTTTTGCTAAAGAATCTGCTTTACTGTTATGAGCTCGAGATACTTGGATTAATGTAACATTTGTAATTTGCTTCATGAGCTCGAGGACTCGCCTATGATAGTGAATTAATCCAATTCTGCCAATTTTATAAATACCCATTACTTGATTTATAATGAGTTGAGAATCACCAAAAACTTTGAGATTTTGAATTTCCATTGAAATAGCGATCTCAAGACCCGCTATTAAAGCTTCGTATTCTGCTTCATTATTGGTTCTAGGTTCAGTTAACCCAAATGAAAATCTCATTATTCCTCCGTTCGGTGCTATGAAAATAAGACCGATACCAGCTCGAGCTTTGGGGAGGTTTGGAGGTTGGGCAGGTTTAATTGATGATGCACCATCAAAATACATTTCCCACATTTGTGATTTCTCTTTTTCTAGAACAACTAGAATTTGTTCATCAGGCAGATCATCATTTAGCGGCGAGTCTGCATGAACGGGATGTGCGGCAAGAAAATCTGCTAGAACTTGCCCTTTCACTGCTTTTTGGGGGACATACGTGATATCAAACTGTAAGAGTATCACTGCCCACCTAGCTAGGCGACCTGTCAACGCTGGTCTTGTCATCAAGAATTTCAGCGGATCGATCTTTGATATCAGTGTAATTTTATGAGATAACATATAGTGGCGGAGCTTTTGGACTGCAAAAATCAACGCCAGACAGTGTTTCTCAATTGAAGAGTAGCGTATTTCTGCTCCTATCAATCTTCGACTGATATAGTAGAGTGCATTTTCTTTGCCTTCTTTATTGTGCTGGGCTAGCAAGGCTCCAAGGGACTCTTCCAATGCTGCGGTGTAGAGGATAAGAGGCTTCCCTGGAATTGGTGCTGCAAGTATGGGTGGGCTCAGAAGATATCTTTTGATACTGTCAAAAGCTTCTTGGCATTCATCATCCCATTTAAAACGAACGTCTTTCTTCATCAGCTTTGCAAATGGTTGACATCTGCCTGATAGATTTGAAATAAACCGTCGTATAAATGCAAGTTGTCCTTGTAAAGAACGAAGTTGACGGAGACTTTTCGGAGGCGGCATTTCTATGATTGCCTTGACTTTGTTAGGATCCACTTCAATTCCTCGGTGCCGTACAACGTACCCAAGAAATTTTCCTGAAGAAACTCCGAAAGCACATTTGAGGGGATTCATTTTGAGATTGAATTTTCTGATTCTTTCAAATACAATTCTCAAATCTTGGAGGTGATCTTTTCGATCTATACTTTTCACAACAAGATCATCCACATAACATTCAACTTTCTGGTGGATAAGCTCATCAAATATATGCGTCATAGCTCTTTGGTATGTAGCTCCAGCATTCTTCAAGCCAAAGGGCATGACTGTGTAGCAGAATATGCCAATAGGAGTCCTGAAAGATGTATGTTTTTCATCTTCAGGTGCCATTTTGATTTGGTTATATCCCGACGACCCATCCATAAATGAGAATATATCATAATTGGATGTATTGTCAACCAACAGTTCTGATATTGGAAGTGGGAAGTCGTCTTTTGGACATGCTTTGTTAAGATCACGAAAATCGATGCATATACGAATTTGTCCATTCTTCTTTTTCATCGGGATAATGTTGGTTATCCAATCAGCATATTTTTCTTCTCGAATGAAACCTGCTTCGATGAGCTTCTTGGTTTCTGCAATCACTTGTTCTTCGATCTCCAATCTCATTCACCTTGGAGCTTGCGTAACAGGTACTGCACCTGATTTGATTGTTAATTTGTGAACAGCTATGTCAGGGGATAAGCCTGGCATTTCATCGTATATCCAAACAAAGCAGTCCCTGAATTCACTGAGTAATGCTTTCATCTTTTCAACTTTATTCTTGGAGAGAAGAGCACCAATGAAGGTTTGGCGAGGGTCCTCATTAGTTCCTAAGTTTATTTCTGTCAGTTCATCCATGGTAGCGGCCTGTCCTCCATCTTCAAGTTCTTCTGGTGCAGGTTTAGCTTCCACATCTTTCTCTTCATTTATATCCATATTTTCAGTAACCGGATATTTATCATTTATCGCATAACATACATTTTGCTCAGTATGTTCTGCTGCCACAAATCCCAAGCCTTTTGTATCACGATTACCCATTTTAGATAATTCGTGACACCACATTCTTTGAAAGAAACGTGCTCGTCGTCGAGTGACCATATTATGAACTCCAGCTTTTCGTATAATTTGCTGAATTCTTTTGGGACAATATCTAGGCATCTTTGTAGGAATTATTTATTTATCTTCATCAAAATTCCCAAGCTCATTGATATTATCTTCTTGATACTCTCCAAATTTGTAGAATAAGCTTCCCGGTCCACTACTTCCACGTAGGGGAGGTACATAAAATGTTTTAAGCTCTTCAACATTATGAACCTCACGGGATACGATTTCTCTAAAATGTTGTGGAGGGATCAGTGTAACCACAAAAGTATTCTCCCTTGGCTTTTCTTTAATCAAAGGCTTGTGGATTTCAGAGATATCATCATCTTCCTCCGTGTCACTTCCCAGGTGGAGTACAACTTTATTTGATCTAGGTAATGTGTTAACCCATTTAGGAAAATTTTGTGACTTTCTTCTCGTATCCTTTTCTTCAACTCCTTTGAGTTGTTTTGTACTTCTTGAGCTTAATGCTTTACTTGCAGAAGATTTCATCGGCTTTACTTTATTTGGAATGAAGTATTTTGCATCATCATAAATTTTCACTTCGTGGACTGCGAAGGGTTGTATATCTCCAGAAATTCGGAACTCTTCCCCATCCTTCAGATATTTCATACATTGGTGCATAGTTGATGGAACAAGACCATTCTCATGGAGCCAAGGTCTACCTAAGAGTGCCTTGAACGAAGTGTCTGCATCGATGATATGAAATTTGACATATGTGTATAATTCTCCAAATTTTAGGGGAAGAACAAATGACCCTACAGTTTTTTGTCCTTTCTCGTTAAAGCCATGCACCATAAGTTTATCTGAACCTAGATGTTGAATATCTAGGGATAAGGACCTTAGTGTGCGCAAGCTCATGAGGTTTATTGAAGACCCAGGATCAATTAGGATTCGCCTTATTATGATGCCATCACTTTCTGCCGTGACATATAAAGGGCGATTATGTTCTGTAGTCCCCAACATGAGATCTTCAGAGAATGTAATAACAGGTTCATTTCTAGCATGAAGAACTTCGCTCAAACATCTTTCTGCGAAATATGCTTCATATCTCTGGATTTTTGAGAGCCTGTATCAAAGTTTCTCGAAGATCTTTTAACATCAGAAGAGCTTCATAGATGCTGAGCTGTGCTGGGATTTTTCTCAAATGGGAAATGATATTATACTCTATCCCTTTATTTGTATCACATTTCTTCTTATGATCTTTAGGGATGATTTCTTCGTTGATAATTATATCTTTTCCCTTGTCTTTGCTTGATAACCCCTTTTTTAGCGGCGGTGGTGGCAGTACTTTACCGCTTCTTAACTGTACTTGAGCCACTTCGTTCGATTTAACATCATCTGATGAAGTTTTTGTTGCATATTTAGAGTCTTCATTCAACTTCACATGCTCCATTCGTGAAGTTATTTGTTGATCTGACTCATCATCATTTGGAAAACATAACTCTTCTTCTGAGTTATAATCTATACGTAGTGTCATCAGACAATACTCATACGTCATTTTATCAGTCATTTTTATAGGAGACATTGCTATTTGACCCATATTATGATCTTTTACAGAATCTCTTTGGGCTGCATTCGGTGCCACTGAGATGACTCGACATGTTTCTACATGGAGTTGATCTTCATCTTCTTGTTCATCATCTTCCACTTCTGATTGGTCTATTTGAAGCTTAGACATAAAGTCTGCAAGTGTTATAGGCCGCCTTGATGGTTGGTGATAATCTTCCAAATTGTTGATGATCTTCTGAAGTGTTGTTATTTTCTTCTTATGCTTGATGCGCTTATTTGAGTTATTGGACTTCTTGGAGGATGTCTTATAGAACCGCTTCGTATTAGGACGCCTCCGAGTTAATGACCTGGAAGTGGATGCACCTGAATTTGGATTTCCTCTTAATTCAAGCACTGGTTCTGTAGAGGATTTCCATTTGATGTTGGGAACTCCTTCCAGTTGTTTGATCATCTTCATTGTCTTCTTGGAGATTGCGGTCTGCCATTCATCTTTTTCTGACACCATTTTTCCTTTCATTTTATCTCCTTCCTTAATCAGAGGTATAGAAGAAGACATAATCACCTTCACAGACTCCTTTGGGTGAACTAAAATGCTATTTGATAGCGTGAATAAATCATTTTTATACTTTCTTTCCATCAAGTCTTTGAATACATAACAATCTTTAATAGGGTGGCTGATAACTCGGTGAAACGGGCAATAACTTGGATCATCTTTTTTATCAGCTTCTTCGGGTCTTTTACACTCTGGTAATTCAAGACCAGTATTTAGTGCTTGTTTGAATAGTTTTGCCACACTTTCCCTTTTAAAAGAATATTCTCTATTCATTTTCTCTTTAAGGGATGTGATTCGATCACCAGTTCTTGGCTTTGAACGTTCTCCTCTATTACGAAAAATCTGAAACTTATCGTTTCCTCCCAATATTAGTTTTGGCAGGGGTTTGGTGTATTGCTTCCCATTATCATCTTTGGAAGTATATTGTTTTTCTTTCTCAATTCTTAAAGATGAAGTGGAATAAATTTCATCTCTTCTATTATCCACAGCTTTTTTCTTTCGGGGTCTATCTGAATGATATTCAGACTTAGACAAGTTCAATTTTTCAAATTTAGCTACCCTGTCTAGTAGCTCTTGATAAGTGCTGATGGAGGCCATGCATAAAAATGGTAACATCTTATCATCGATGTTTCCCATTAGCAGTTGAACGGCATGCTCCTCTTCCAATTGTTGTTCGCATTTCATACTCATGTTGCGCCAGCGGGTGATGTACTTTGTCACCGACTCGCCCTTTTTTCGTTTCTCTAAGGCAAGGTCAGCGATAGTAGTCTTCTCGGTAGCACTAGCGAACCTTTTCACAAACATATTTTCTAATTCTGCAAATGTCTTGATAGAATCATTAGGAAGCTCGGTGTACCATTCAAAAGCAGTCGCAGTCAAACTACTAATGAATTGGCGGAAGAGTAGAGCATCAACACCCCCAGTATTTCCACAGGTTGCTTTAAATTGGGCCAGGTGTTGTTTTGGATTGCCGGTGCCATTAAAAGTGTTGAACTTAGGCACTGAGTAACCCTTAGGGTAGGGCACCTGATCGTACTCAGCTGGATACGGGCGACCCTTGCTCACAAATTTCTCAACATGTTCTGAGGCAATGACAGCTTTAATCTTTTCATTGATGATTGATTCTAGCTGCGGAGTCATCATCGGCTCAGATGCACTTGTAATATTTTGATGAACAGGTTGATTAGCCTCATTTCCTTCTTCATTCCTGGTTCGTACTCCAGACACCTGGGGTATTGGATCCATTGGCAGATTAGTAGGAATACTACTTGATATCTGCTGATTAACTGGTTGATTTTGATGATCGACTGGCTGAGCAAGTGTACGAGTAGTAGTAATGTTCTTTTGCATTAACTGCATCATCGCAATCATCTGTGTCATCATTTCCGTCATCTTGCTATTCAGCTCTGATATCTCCTTATCCTTCTCTTTCATTTGAAATTTCAAACGCCTTTGTGCTTGTGCTAGTGTCTCAGCAAGCACTTCCTCTTCTTGATCATCATTTTGTCCATCATCTGAAGGGACTTCTTCTTCTTCTAACTGCTCGTGCTGAGTTTGATCTTCTTGAGAGGTTGTTTTAGAAGAAGTGGGTGCTGCTTCGTTGCGTCGTCTATAGCCACGTGTTTGATGTGGCTCATCACCATGTCCCACCATGTAGACTACCTCAACCTCCATGGTGTCTTCATTTTTATCATTTTCTTGTACTCGAATCTCAGAGCGACGCTTCCAATGGATCTCTGGCTCTACATACGGTACATGGATTTCTTCAATTGGAGGAGTGCGATCAAAATTGATCTTCTTCTGAGAGGTTGAAGTTGGCTGACAATAGGATTCCTTGGCAGATTTTCCAAGGTGTCGATTATTGCGAATGTCAGTAATAGGCACCTTTTCCTTGGGTACCCATTGTTGACGATTTTTATGAAAGGTGGATCTCTGGGAGGCTGCACCAGATGTCACGCCCATATTAGTTCTTTTTTCTTTTCTTTCTTCTCTGCGAGGCTTTGGCCTCCAGATTTCTTTTTCTTTACGCTGGGACCTTTTGGCGGCGGATCCCTGAACCCGAAGTTCAGGTGTCACGCCCCGATGCTCACCACATGGAGTATATTTTATTTTTCTTCTCTCCGCTACAATAGACAGACGTTCTCTTGGCGGAGTTCTTGTAGCTTCAATTATCAAGGGCTGCTGATATCTCTTCTTCTTCAGACCTTTCTCTTTCACGGTCTTCAGGACTCGATAGACTCGAGCTGAAAGAGTCTCGAGCTCTTTCTTCCTTGGAGGGATTGGGGCTTCAGGCCGTTGATCCCAGAAAGATTGCTTTAGCTCCCCAGTAGAGCTGTTTCTTTTTACCCATTTCAAATTTGCAAACATATTCCGGGTTGGAATGGTAGCTTCAGGTTCTTGGGCTGGTAGGTTGGAGGGATGAGTTGGCACCAGTTGCTGCTGAGCTCGGAGTTCAACATTC